ATATATGTATAAAGAAATATCAAATATTTGAAATATCATGCTTTGTTATTCTATTTATCGAGTTGTTCATTAATAATGAACTCTTCATTGCTTTCATGTAAAACTTGTTTCTTTTCAATTCTTATATCTGATTGTCTTTTTCTAAGAAAAAGTGGTTAAATTCTGTACAAAAAAGCTTGACTTGACGTATTTCTATAGTAAAAAATTTTTAAAAAAATGAAACGAAGAGTACTCTAGAAACAAACCAAATTTCTATGCTGAAAAACAATTTCGCTTAGGTTTCAAATGAACACATATAATATTGGTCTTAGAGACTTGCATTGATATTATCCTCGTTTTGTGACATTAGAAAGACTAGCCATTTCAATCAGTGATTCTTGAGGATATCGAATAAACAAATCAACCAAAGCATTTTTTTGAGCTCGAGTTTATTTTGTGTTAGTAAGAAATGATTCTAGCATGAATTTCATCAATAAGCGTCTGTCTCATAGGTTTCTACTTAAATTCAGTCAACAAAGTTTGAAAATAGGTGACGAAAAAGATCATACTTCCAAGCCCTCGAAAACAGTTTTTATTTTGTTTTGTTGACTTTCAATCTGTTCAAAATACTTTATAGGTTTTTTCAGAAAGACTTTTTCTATGTAATTAGTGTATGCATTATTGAGTTCTATTCATAGGTCTGGATGCTGCAAGAACTAGAATGGACTAGCCTACTTTCACCCCAGCCAAGCTTTGCATCATCTCTGTGAAATTTGAAAAGGCAACTTTTCTCATACCCTGTTTGCTAGACGAACTATCTCCGACTGTCTTTCAATTTTATATACTCTTGCCACTTTTAAAAACTATCGAGAATCCTGATTTCACTTCGTATTGTTGATATGTTGATAGGTAGCATCACTTTCTCCAACATCATAACAGAAGACGTTGAAGGTGACGCCATCGGTTGACTTGTCAAAGGTAACTATACTAATACTTAATACTGCTTACATCATTATACGATGGATGTCTATCTTTGCAAGTCTAAATAAAAGCCGTTCACTAGTGGAAATCTTATAGTTACCTTTCTATCTACAAAATCAATTAAGCATTTTATTTCGATTCGCATATTCAAGTCATATTATGAAAAATGAACTTTTTCACATTTTCAAACATACTTAATTTATTTCCATTATTGTCTGATGCAGCTGCAGCCATTAAATTAGCCAATGTAGGATTTGTTGATGTTGATACAATTGTTTTAGTGCTTATATTTGTTGTTGATGATGATGATGAAGATGGTATTGCTGTTTTTTGTTTCAAATGTGTTTTAAGTGCTTTAAGTAATCGAATAAGATTTTGTTGACCAATCGATTGATCTTGTACAAGTCCAATACGAACACCATAACTAAGAAAAATTAAACAAAACAAAAATGTTTAACTCAAAATCAAAATTAATTCGATTTAAACAACAAACTTTAATGCTTTATTAACACCAAGTTCTTGTATTGGAGTTAATGTACTTGCAGATGATAATTTAACCAGATCAGCTTCTATATTTAAGAATAAAGGTAAAAAAAAAAGATAAGTTTTTATTTGATTCCGAATGAATTTAATAGCTATAATCACAGCAAACAGGTGAATTGAAAAGAAAACGGGTGTTTTAGTGAGGATATAGGGAGAAAAAAAAACCAATAGTGCATAGTGTTGAAAAAAAAGAATTAGATTTACCGAGATGACGACGCATATCTGATAACACACATGGACAAAAAAAAATTGATGGTTTGTTTTTCTTTCACAAGTGAACAATATGGGAAAGAGTATTGTATCAATGAAATTTTTAGAAGCATGCAATTTGTTTATTTTTCAGTAGGAGAATATGATCATACGAATAATGATTTTGATAGTTTTTAACTTACTTTGTACAGTAACTGAAGATGATGAAGAATCTCGAGATGAATTAAAAAGAACATCAATATGAAGTTTATCATGAATATCAACAACAGCATCAAGTAAATCAGCCATGACTAAAATAAAAATAAAAAAAAAATGATTGAACAATCGAATAGAAAATTGATTCATTCGATCTTTTTTTGTTTTGAAACATACGAGAAAGTGGTAAATATTCTTGAGTTGATTGACGAAGTGTACCCATAAATAAATGACGACATTTACTTAACCAACGATCATCAAGTCGATCTGGTCGAGAACTTCTTACAAGACGATGTAATTCAGTTTCTTCTAGAATATTTGAAATTTTTTCATTTAAACATTATTATTTTCCTTGCAAAAAAAAGGAACATTGAAAGTATATTATTCTCAAGAAAATTCTTCTAGATTATTTCATCATATTGAACTAATAAAAACTATTCAATACTCCTATTCACTCAATCATCAGCTTTTAATAACTTTCTCTTTTTAGAATCAGAAAATGGAAACAATTATTTAATTTTTCTTTGTCAAATTCTACTACAAAAATGTTATAACATATGAATAAATGTTTTTGCAACTGTCTCGAATCAAACGATATTATAATTATTTGATCACAATACTGTTTATTGCGGCAGCAGTGTGATGGTAGCACGTTTTTAAAACATGCTCTGCCATAGCGGCAACTTTTTTTTTTGTATGAAGGTCATTGGAAAACTCCACGAATGTCCACTGACTTTCAGTTTCCACAAATGCAATAATCTGACATCTGCTGAATTCAATGGAATAGTGAAAATGATTTTAGTTCAGTACTATTATAATCGTGAAATTGGAAACATTCTTTTTTTGAATATTATTGCAGTGTGGCAGATTTTCAGCTGCAATGGAGTTTTTTGTTTCATAATCATATGATTAAGCTGATTGAAATGAATAAAAATCTTTATCTAGGGAAACAATTCGTATATTAATGAAGAAAATAACGCTAGCTTTATCTCATCAAAGCTTTATAAATTCTCTTTGTATGACATCTCAAAATCCATTATCCCGAATACAAATAATAAATATTCATATGTTTTTATTTCTACAATTAATAATATTCTTTGTAATAAGTATTTACCGATTTTTGTATTATTTAATCCACCATAAGTTGCTTTAATAGTATAAAAATCAGGTAATGGCATAGAACCAGCAAATAATGGCATCGATGTTAATAATGTTAAATCATTTTCATTTAATGTCCATGGTGGCATATTTTTTTCTTGAGATCCACCTACTAATTCTGCATTAACAAGAACATGATTACGTGCTATACTTAATTGATCTATAATAATATTTCCTCCTGATCCCATTTCGGCTTGTGTTTGTCTTAATTTTTCAATATAATTATATTTTATTTCAAGCATTAATTGAACATCTAAATCTGATTGCATTATTGATAATAATCTAAAATACATAATTATTTTTTATTTTTATTGTTTTATTATAAAATAAATTTATACCTTAATCCAACAGTATGTGTATGTTCATAACAAAGAAGACTTCGAATACCAGTATCATCACTAACAAAAGAAATTCGTTCAAGTAAAGCCTAGAAAAACAAAATGTTGTTTTTTTTTCTGTAGAGAGAAAAACAAAACAAGCATAAAATCCTACGAGAAGTGTACATGGTTTTGGATTTTTTTCCATATTACGTGGTGTTAATGGTTCATTATTATCTGTTGATAATAATTCATAAGCAGCAGAAAATGAAGAAACAAGTGAAAGAAGACTTAATAATGGCTTAAACGAAAACAATTTATTCAATATCACATGGTTTTTGTTTTATTTGATTTTACTTTTAAAGCATATCGACTAATTGGATCTGATGGAAAACGTCGAGGAAATACACTTGTTAAATCATCAGGTACATTTTCTAATTCCATCCAAAGTAATTCAATTAAATATTCAACAAAACCTTTATTTATAAAAAATCAAGTAAGAATGAAGAAAAAAAGAATTTATAAAACACATACGCACCTGAATGATCAAGACGTGCAACAACAGCTGGTGTATTAGCCATTTGTGATAGTAAATATCCATAACCATATTGTTCTAATTTACCTACTTGAACTTTTAATCGCCAACGTTCATCAATGTAAATAACACATTCTGATAAAAAACCAGTTTGTGTTAAAAGATACATCCCTATTTAAAATAAAATTAATATTAAAATATACGAATTGGAGTCATTCAATAGAGCAAGTTTTAATTTATATTTTTCGATTATTTATCACATTAGATTTCAAATTGATATTTCGTCTTGAATATGAAATTTTTACATAAAAGTTTTAAAAAAATGTTTACCTTTTGGTGTTGCACCAAATAATAATAAATTATCAAGTAATGTTTCTTTCCATGGCAAAATGTTACGACTCATTTGATCTTCGGATTCTGCTGATGGACTTCGATTTAATGATGGTGAACTATTTTTTTCCATCTATAGTTAATTATAAGTACAAAAAAAAGATTAATTCTATCTTAGGTTTTTTTTATTTATTATTTAACCTCAATTTTAAATGCTTCAGCAAGTGTTTTATGTAATTGTACTCGTTTAATAACAAGTAAACCTGATGTACGAGAATAAATTAATCGGCATACATAAATAAATTCAGATAATAAAACTGTTGGCATAAATGAATATGATGTTGTTAATGATAAATCAGGTGTTATTAAACTTGATCGAGTACTTGTATATTGTGATAATATACGTTTAACATAAATAACAATTAATGATGCTGGTGATCCTCTGAAATAATGCAATTGTCTTTTTCGAATTTAAAAAAAAAAGAATCATTGTAATTTATTACGTATTTGGTGTTGTTGGAGCTCGAATAAGATATTGATAACCAATATCATTTGATGCCATAGCAGCAAGTAAATCAGCAAGACCAATAAGACCACATTCATGAACAGTATTATTATTTGATCTTAAATAATCATTAAACAATTTTTTTGATGCCAAATATTGTTTTATTGGTTTAAATAATGTTTCAAATAAATCATCACTACACATTAATTGACCACATGTATCTGATTCAAGACAAAGTCTTTTAAATAATTGACAACATAAAGATGAAGCTGCTTCTACATGAACAAAAAAAAGAAAACAAAAGTTCAATCAAATGATTTTGATATTAAAATGTTTTTTATTACTTCCACTATTTGCAACAAACATTATTTGAATAAATACTCGAAGTATATCTTTAATATTAACTAATAAAAAAAAAATATTATATTAAATAAAAGATTTAATTGTTTTTCTTTGATATCAGATTTACTTTGTTTATCATTATTAATTATAATTGGAAAAACCATTTGACGTGCTTGTTTTGAACAAACAACATGTTCAAATAATGAAAGTGAATGAACAAAATGTACATTAGCAAGTTCAAGACGTGTATAATGTGATGAACTTGCTGGTACAGCTGGTGGAGGAATTGGGGGTGCAACAGATACAGGCGGTGAGACAAAATTTGAAAGAAAAGATGGTGCAGATGGTGGTCCACTTGTTGTTGTTATCATTGATCGAATACTACCATCAGATGAAGCCGTACCTACAAATTAATATTTAATATTTTTTTTCTTTTGATTAAAAAAAGAAGAATAAGACAAATCAAATTCTACCAATAGGTCTTTTTCGAATGCCTGATGGATATAATGAATTATCATTGCCATCATTTCCCATATTCATTTGTTGAGAATGTGTATGAGCATAATTAACAATTGATTGATATGCATTTATTAGCTAGATTTTTATAACAAAAAAAATTTTGTCAATTAGAAGTTTTTGCAAAAAAAGAAACGCTTATTTTACTTACTAAAACTTTCTTATTTGATATTGAACGTATTATATATGCTCGACTATAAGTTGCATGCTAATTATAAAAAGAAACAAAAAAATGTATTACATGCCAAACTTTTATTTAGTACAGTTTCCGAACAGAAGTCTTTCCTCATTGACAGCGTCAGAAAAAATTTGTGTACTCATGCTCAACTATAAATTGTAGGTGAATAGAAGTATTCACAACCCACTTGTTTGAACAAGCACTGAGCTATGATGAATGATGTTTATTCTTGCTTTGAGCTTCGTCATTCAGAAAGGAAGAGAATATTATGAGTCGAAAGACTTATTATTATGTAGCACTAGTTTTCAAATGTCTGTGATAAAAATTTCCTGTACGTTCGTTAATCTCTTCAAACTGTAATTATCTATAAATCTATGAATAATCAGATTTATTCCTTTTTACTTTTATGCTAACATATGTTTTAAAACTGTAAGAATATTGTCTTTTCCAAGATGTATAATTCAGTCATAGTTCAAAAAATTGATTTGAAGCTTTTCAGAGAAACTTGCTTCATGTTTTATAAGTTTCAGAATTAGATATTACAATAGAAGAATATGAAATATGGATAATGATTTTGTTAGTATCGAGGATTCACAGACAATAATATTTAAGCAAATAAATTTATCTTTTGAAATAAAGAACATCGATAGATTGAGCTTTGGTTTCGTGTCAAAATATTCAGAATTGATCATATACATATTTGATAAGAAACAAATCAAAAGTTTATTAGACAGCTCTTTCAATTTATAAATCTCACAATAGATACTATTCATAATAAATTCTTTAACTTCTACTCATTATAATGCTTGAGATCCGAAAGTGAAAGACGTTTGTTCAGGATTATAAAAACATTTAAAAAAAAATTTCTTTTCTCGCAAACATAAAGGGTGAACAGTTATCTCCATTGAAAACTATGAAAAAAAAAATTACAAACCATCCATGTACGAAACCAATTAGCTTCTGGATCAAGTAATGCTACAAAATGAAGTGGAAGTATTCGACCACCATTTGGTTCCGATGGTATGGAACCCAAAGAAAAAAGACGTACGGTTTCATTAACTATATGTTCAACATAACTAAAATAAAAACAAACTATTTGATATAAGAAGAAAAACAAAGACAAACTTTTCTGAATATCTCATCCAATATTTTGTTGTTTCTTGAAGAAATTCAAGTATAAGACGAATCTAATTATATAAAGAAAAAAAAGCTTTACAAAATTAAAACATTGTTTTTTCTTTTGTGAGAATTTACTTGTTTAAATTTCATTTCAATAGTTGAATTTTGAATATCAAGTGAAATAGCTGTAGGTTGTAATTCAATAACATTCGATGAAGAAAACCATTGTACTAAATGATCAACTAAAACGCCCCCCCAAAAAAAAAACAATTGAATTTCCAAAAATAAAAGAAAAATAAAAACATAATTCACTTACCAAGATTAGTAAGAGTTTCACAAACAACACTCATATTTGCTGCTGCTAATAAACGTGAATGTAATGTAAGACATGCCATCTTAAAATAATATTTATAGATATTTAAAAAATTCTATGAAGAAATCTTACAGCTATTTCAAGATTAGTATCACCTAATGCAATAATTAAATTTGGACAAAGTATTTTCCAACTATTTATTGAAATCACTTCATTCGGAGCATAATTTAATAGATCATTTAATGCACGAAGACGAACCTTTAAAAAAAATAAACCAAAATAAGAACTCTTCACATAAATATTATCTATTTTTTTTTCTTCTATGAATTACTTTTTCTGGTTTTGTCGCTGATAAATTATCTGCAACTGTACGCAAATGATTATCATCGAAAAACATAAAACTTTTCTAAATAATAATAATAATAATAATGGAAAAAAAAGATTTCCTTTAAAGATATTTTTTTTTTCGAACATACATGACGTCCACTAGATCCATTTGTATATGATGTTTCAGAATCACTTCCATAACTAATATTATATGATGATGAACCACCACCACCAGTAGCTGAATGACGATTTTCATTAATATCACTTAATTCAATTGATGTTCCAATTATTGTTCGATTATCAGATATTAATGTATCTGATGCAATACCAAGAGCTGTTGATGATGATAAACTTAATGGAAATTCTTCATTAAAATTTTCAACTAAATCACTAAGTGTTGTATGAAGACGTCTTAAAACATCCGTACGAAATGATGTAAATTCAAGTGTTTCAGCTATTGTTTGACTTATAGCTGATGCACCTTCATGTTCTAATTTACTTTTATTTAATTGATGTTTTTGATTTTTTATTGTTTTATTTGATGACATTGAACGTTCGATTTCTTTATCAATCATATCACCAAATGCATCATCAACAATATAATGTAGACGACGTAATAAATCTGAACTAAAAGTAAAATTAATAAAAGAATAAATTAAAAAAAAAAATAATAAAAGAATATTTGAAACTAACTTATGAGCAATATCATTAGGTGTTGATGATAATGAATGAATAAGTTGTTCATCAGTAAATGTTATATTAGCTGAACCACGTCGTGCAGCTTTTAATAGAACAGGATCAAGTGATTTTAAAAATGATTTCATTAAACTACGCAATTCATCATCAGAAACTTTTTCTAAAATATTTTTAGCTGTTGTCATTGATATGGAATCTAAAACCATTCCCTTTATTTTTTTTGTTTGTTTTTTATTATTTATTTAATATTGATCGTATATTAATCACATATGCACATTTATTTATAAATAGAAACCATTTTAGATGTTGTTACTTTGACAACAGGGAATGTACCTCGTTCAATTTTTTTCTTTATTTCATCATCTATCGTCTATATCATTGATTGGTTAAAATTTATATTATCAATGAACTAAAGAAAGAATGAGGGAATAGCCAAAATTCTACTTTTATTTGTACGCAAGGTTTTAATATTTAATAGTTGAAACAAGTATTGAGTAGACTATGTAAAAAGCGCAAATTCTTTACAGCTGTCATCATCTATAACAACACAATAACATTCAAAACAACAAAAATGACAACATATAAAAATTAATTGTTCATATCATGCGTGAATATAATTTTTGCTCTATGAATTTTCATGGATACAATATATTACGAAACTAAACAACACATAATTTCAATTGTAAATGTCTATGTAACATCAGCATATTACTGAAAAGTTTTCAATGGTGAATTTTCAAAGTTACTAAATTATTTGTAATGCCTTCATCTAAATGTATCACTCGTATATATCGACCAACAATTTTTCGTATACATGATTTTATTCTGTTCATGAATACTAAACGAAACAATTGACTTGATAATGTATATATATAAAAGGATTTAGCATAATTAGCATAGTAAACTAATGTAGTGAATGACATTAAGAATGAACCGATCATTTTATTATAACCAGTTAATGGTGGTGCTAGAACATAGTATGCATAATAAATCATACGTGTTAAAATCAATAATTCACTAAATCCAACTTGAAAAAGCATCATCTATAAAGAATAAACAACAATCAGACAATATAAAAACTGAAGCAAAAATTTAAGTGTCATAAATTGTGATAATAATTCAATTGAGAAAACAAGAGAGATGAAACTGACTAATTTATATGCATATTTTTCAATTTTCATAAACTACTTACCATAATTAAATGTGAATCAGTTTTTTGTTGAGGATAATGATATTCTTGAGTTGAAGCAATTGCATTTTCATGCAATTTAACTGCCACTCGTTTTTTTTCTCGTCGAATATTCATAACAGTAAGAAAACCAAAGATTAACATCAATATATGAGGAATAACACCAAGCCAAAACACTGCAAACATACCATCAAACTTCGAAACAGGACCAGCAACGACACCGCATCGTGGTCGAAGATCATATGCAACTAGAATATGAATACATGATAGAAAACCTATTGCAATAGCTACTATAGTTGCACGATAAGCTATTTTCATTTGACTAAATGAACGAAGACGAACACTAACTGATGATGACAAAAATCGATCAATTGATGATAGTAAGACCAAATAAGTAGCTGTTAATGGAAGTGCTGAAATTAAATAAGCACGAGATTTACAATAGACTCGATTTGTATTGATTAATGGGCTACCAAGATGATCAGCAGCAAGTCGAGAAATAAGACCAAAAGTAATGGATAATAATTCAAATACAGCTGACATAAGAAAATAAAAAGCACATGAATTTTTACGTAATTGTGGTGCTGTAAATGTGATAAAATTGCATAGACAACCAGTTATACCAAACACTAAAAGAATAATTGGTCCATAATAGGTCATTTCAGTAGTGAGAATTTGTATTGAGGCTTGATTAGTTGTAGTGATGGAGGATGTTATAGTTGTCGTAGACATTTTGTGTAATGTTTAGTGCCTAAGTAATTCTTTACAATACTGTTCTGAATAAGATAGATGCAGTTTTTTTAGAATTTTTATTCTTTTATCAATGATATTCACCGCGCTTATTGTTCAAAAGATTCCTACATAGCTATGAATCCTGTATTTATATTATGTGCATTGGTTTGAATTTTAATCATTAAAGACAGTTTTGCATTTCTTAAGAATATCGTGTTACTAAAAGTGACATGAACATTGAGATTATCAGTCAACTAGTACAATATGATATAAAGAAATATACCTCTAGAAAGTTATTTTCCTCTCTTTGATGGATAAGGCAGATCGATAAAAAACCACTCTTGTATTCCCTACTGTACTAGTTAAGCAACATAATTTATTTTACTACTTAATGTGATTCTTTATTTAAAACAAATGTTTCAGTTATATTGTTAGTTTTTCAAAGAACTTGATAATTTCTAGAATTTTAATGACGATTAATATTTTAACAAATGTCAGACATTTATGAATATTAATTGTTGCATAACATGAAAATAGAAAGTATCATGTTTGTTTGCTTAACAATCAATAATACTTTTAATTATACATCGCCTATATGATTAATTGTGCAAGGTAGAACCTTGTGGAATCAACACTGAGAAGATTCGCACATCATATCACTACTGAATAAAACAAGAAGAAAAAAAGCTTGTTGATCAAGTGTTTATTTTCATTTGACGATAATCTATACATCAATAATAGTACTTGTTGAAAAGTCTATTGTATGAATATGAAGGTTCGGGAAGAGTTAATTCTTTGCAATATCGTTACATAAGTATTTTGACAGTAAAAATAAGAACAATTAAAATAAGTCAACATGTTCTAAAAGAAAACATATATGAAAGGAAGAGAAATAACAATCTTCAAGATTGAAGTTTCTGTTGTTTTCCATTTGATATAAGATATCATTTAAATCTTAAAGAATGATTGTTTAATTTTGTATTGTTGCCAAACTCTGATACTTTCAACATATAAACAATTTTTTTTTACTTATTTCAAATAACAAACTAAATACAATATTTGAATTCTGCGCAATCGTCATTTTACTACGCATGAAGTTCTGTTGCTCTTATAAATCAAGTGAATTTAATTTAACAAGACAATTTGTTTTCTTCTTGTCCGTTTCTCATTGTTAATGTTCAATATACGTCTAAAGTGGGAACAACAAATTATTTACATTAATAAAGCGTTCCGAATTAGAAATATTTATCATATTCAATATTTTTCTTATCACATATCGTTCGAATTTCAAATTATGCATTAGTGCTTAATTATTATTTGGTTATTAATCAGAACAAAAAAAAAACAACCAACGATGTGATTATTAAATCGAATCTCTTCAGATTTTTTTTAGTGTTTTTTAAAACTTTTATGATAATCAAAATGTAGTATAAATTCTAATGAATACATTTTCAGGCTATCAAACACAATAGATGTATAACTTTCTCTGTGCAAAATTTAAGAATGAGGATGAACTTACAATTTTCTCCATTGCGGATTACATATATGTTGATATAACATGAAGATATGTTAGATCCGAACATACAAACTGCATGCATTCTATTTCATGTTTCAATACTTGATTGTATCTATCTCCAATAGATATACAAGTAAAACAATGTTTTCAATCAGTTTTTGATTCGCCTTTGAAGTTTATAACACATCGAATAGTCTGCATTGATTCAGTACAACACTTGTCTCTACAAAAAATAGTAGTAATAGCGTTATCGAAAATCTTGTTATCAATTGAGGAAATCGTCATTGAATTTCATTTTGAATATATCTACTAAATAGAAGCATAATAATTAATAATGATACATTTAAATACTTTCACGAGGAGACCACTCAAACTTGATAATCACTGTTTGAGCTCATACTGGAGTTTTTCTTGTATGGGCCTCTCTCAAACTAAATGATGATTATTTCATGGAATTATCGACTCATTATTAGGTATATGTCGAAAAATCAAAAACCAGTATTTCGGCATGAAATTTTGTTCGCAGATAGATCTATTAATCTATAGAATACTGTGAAGAGCCGTCACAATTAGAACACATGAAATAAATAGTCAATGTCTCTTCCTTAAGTAATTATAAAAAAAGATTTTCCTGATTATTGCCAACAAAAACTCAAACATCTAATGTAGTCATTATAGTAGAATAGGAGATCTTTTCTTTTATATTAGTCTATGAATAATAAAAGACATAATTGGATGATAGCGCAGGTTGAAATAACTAAGTATGTAATGAATGAATATAGAAGTGCGACAAAAAATCTTTTATTCTTGATTATAAGCTTTTAACAATTTACCATTGTCATCATCAGGAAACCATTAGAAAAGAACAAAGTTAAGCTATATATGTAGGTATAATATATATAGTCAATTGGTAATTGTGTTATCTTTGGTGTACAAATAGATACTGTAATGTGTATTTTTTTGTTTTCTGTTTCCTTTTGTATACCTATATATATAGCTTAACTTTGTTCTTTGCTAATAATTTCTTGATGACGACAATGGTAAATTGTTAAAAGCTTAAAATCAAAATTAACAGGTTTTTTGTGGCAGTTCTATACTCATTCATTACATACTTATTTCAACTTGCGCTATCATCCGATTATAAACAAAATACTCGCCACAGGTATGATAATGTTTTATTTATAACTATTAGAAAAACAAAGAAACTATCTATGAAATAGAAAAATGAAAATACGATCTAGAATTTCTACGTTTATGCATAATTTACGGACTCACACCTAACTTTGTAAAAGTAAAACTATAGAAAAAGAAAATAGCAACAACCACACAGTACAAAAATTATCAAATATAAAAAAAAACTTGAGACACTGATTAATCATCTGAAAAACAATATACAATACTCAAGTTTCCAACAGCTGCAACAATTTCTTCGTCAAAAACTAAAAAGAGAAAACGATCAAATTTCATGGAAGAAAGTCACTAAAACTAAGTAAAAGTACCATAGGACAAGACTATGAAATACTGCGGCATAACATAGTACACAGCCAGGGCTCTCAATTGTTTTCAACAGTGCCAGGGGCTAATAATTTTTCACAGACACTCCTGACAAATTTTCGCAGACAGTTATCTTCATCAAAATTTTCGATGTACAACTAAATGTAATTTTTTAGAAGTATTCGTGAGCGAACATTTGTTTCTCCTTTTAGTCTCAGAAAACGTTTTTGAAATTATTTTTTAAACTTAACTTCTATCATATGATTAAACAGTGGCGGTTATACGACGTAATGTCTGTCAGATTCGCTAAACAATCCATATTATGTAACAAATTTGACAGACAATCTGCATTACCTACCAAGCTTGATAGATATCCTGCACTGTCTGCCGGACTCGGCAAACAATCTATATTCTCTGCTAGATTTGACAGATATATTGCGCTTTCTGACAGATTTGTCAGAAATCGAAGCGCTACTAAAAATTTCGCAGACAGATAGCAAAACAATTCCCACAGACACGCTAAAAAAAGTGCTGGAGGCTAGCCCCCAGCAGCCTCTGGCACATCGAGGGGCCTGTACACAACCTATCCTCATACAATGTAATCACCAGTTGAAGAACGTTTATTGTGTAGAGGATGCGATTTTTGCATAGAGCATAAATAACGAACTTCATGGATTTCAAAACTGATGTTGAAATAAATACTGCCAAACTAGAACAATTGTGTCACCCATCCACATTCAATCACATATGTTGAAAAATACATCACTATTCTGAAATACTAATTTCAACCGTAAAAAAGAAAAAGATTAGAAATATAAGCGATGAAGAATTCATGACTATAAAAACTGTTGAAAACAATAACAATATAGCCATATGCAAAGCAGACAACGGTAATACAATAATCATCCTTGAGAAAAAAAAGACTATAATGAAAAAATGCACAATATTCTAAAACTAAAACAATTGAAATCCACACAAAAAGAAAAAATCATGAACAAATATCTTTCAAAACTAGTAAAAGAAAAGCTAATTAAAAAATAACTATACATATATTCTCGTTCTACTTCATGCTTATTTGCAGTTCTATACGACCAGCCAAAAATTCATAAAATAAATTGTCCCCTACGACCTATAATATCTTCTGTGGGTACATATAACTATGAGCTTTCAAAATATCTCTCAAACATAATTAAAAACAACCGACCCTATATGTCATTTTCATACATTCGAGACTCTTTTGAATTTGTAAAAGAAATAAAAAAACATTAGTTATAGTAATAATCAAAAACTGGTAAGTTTCGACATAGATAATTTATATAAAAATATACCCGTGTACGAAGCTATTAAAGTAGCACTTGATGCACTACTCCAAAAAGACAAACCAACTTCACTTCCATTTAACCGTACACAATTTAAAAAGTTCTTAGAAATAGCTATCTGCGAAGTACCATTTCGTTTTCAAAATACTACCTACATTGAACAAGACGGCATGGCAATGGGTTCACTCCTTGCTCCCATCTTAGCTAACTTATTTCCTTCAAAACTCGAACTAAAAATAAACAAATTTTCAACAAACAAACCCTTTATATTAAAACGATACGTGAATGATGTTTTTTGTATCTTTAAGAACTCCCAAAACATTTCCCACTTTCTAACACGCATTAATAAATGGCACCCCAACATAAAATTCACTATTAAGTACGAGAAAAATAATCAAATAGCGTTTCTAGACGTTCTAATTATTCGAGATAAAGCAACTAATAAATACACAACAACATATATAAGAAACCTACTAACACTAACCTCCGTCTACTCTATGAAAGCAATCAATGTCAACAGTACAAAATAGGACTAAACCGAACATTAGTCCATAAGAATACTACTAATATGCTCCACTACAATACATAAAGAAACAGAACTGAACGTACTCACAACAACATTAATTCACAATGGATACCCGGGAAAATTTCAACTCGTCACGATTTTTGTT